ACTTTTGGTCTCCAGAGGATTTACTGAACTTTGGGATTGAGTGTGCAGACTCTGACAATTTCTTTAATTCAGGAGTGGTACACATAGTGCTCCCTTCTTCCATTTTCCCTACAATGACAGCTCTATGAAATAGGTTGACCTATCTACCTGGAACAAAGTCCAATATGTTCAGAAAGGCTTAATACCAGCCTTGCTCATAATCTATTATCTCCCAGCTTCCTTCTTTCTTGTTGGATGACTGTTGCTTACAGCCTCCCACTCCATTTTTTTTGGTCCAAACTAGCAATCTTGATATTTCTGCTAACTGCTCTTTTGGTCAACATAAGCTACTACCAGATCACAGTAACAAACAGTAGCATTCAGAGAAAAGCAAAAACTGAGCTCAACAGGAACCAGAAAATTCCTGGAAACAAAGAAGAGCCAGGTCTCCTTAATACTTACATGGGAGACTCCTAGGGACTGCCAGAGCTGAAGGGTAAACTGGGCAGTTGAACAGCCAGAAAAAAGCAAAACATTTCCTTATGTTGCCAAGAAAATGGGATGGCTCTTTCCTCAGCTTCAAGGTTTCTTTACCTTTTTTACCTCCTACAAATTCCCAATCAGATCTATTATTTCATTATCTAAGTTAGGAGCATATAATGTTTTCAAGCATGAACGGAACTGTACACTTGCAAGGGGTGGTAACTTTGTCCTTTGCTCGGACCTAGATCCTCTTCTTTGTGGCTGCAAGTTATGAGCTGCTGGACAATTTTTGTCCAGTCTCCCACCTTCCCTTTTTAAGAAAGGTGGTAGGAAAGGTGGTCGCGAGGCAGCTTCTGAGGATACTGGAGGAAACAGATTATCTAGACCCCTATCAGTCAGGATTCAGGCCCGGTTATGGGACAGAAACAGCATTGGTCGCACTTTAGATGATCTCTGGTGAGAGCGGGATGGGGGGAGTGCATCCATCCTTGCTCTTCTTGACCTCTCGGCAGCTTTTGGTACCAACGAACATGGGATCCTTTTTGGTTTGCTGCAGGAGTTGGGGCTGGGTGGCACAATATTGTGC